GGAATGCTGGCCGTGTTTCGAGCTCTGACACACTTCCTTCCAGACCTAAGGGGGCATCATGCGTTTGTCCGCACAGACAACACATCGGTGGTCTCCTACATCAATCGGCGGAGTTATGGAAGCTGTGGGCATGGCCCCTGAGGGGGCACAGCTCCTAGCATCTGGTCTCTCAACTGAGGTTGTTGAGGCTGTACTCCAGTCCAGAGCTCCCGCCACTAGGAAACAGTATGCCTTGAAGTGGAAACTTTTCGCTTCATGGTGCGGACAGTGACTGCAGGACCCAGTCAACTGCCCAATTGGTACAGTTCTGGAGTTTCTGCAGGAGCGATTCTCCGCAGGGTTATCTCCCTCCACTCTGAAGGTATACGTGGCGGCCTTAGCTGCTTACCACGCCCTTCTGGGTGGTCAATCATTGGGAAGACACCCACTTGCCACTCGTTTCCTCCGTGGCACTCTGAGGCTGAGGCCAGTACAGCGCACCGAGGTGCCCTCATGGGACCTGGCTGTGGTTCTGGAGGGCTCATGCAATGCCCCCTTTGAACCTATAGAAGAAGTTCGGTCAAGTTGCTCAGGCTCAAGACCATCTTTCTCCTCGCTATTTCCTCACTAAAAAGGATCGGGGATCTTCAGGCACTCTCTGTTTCATGCTTGGAGTTCGCTCCAGGCATGGTTAGGGCATTCCTTTACCCGAGGGCCGGGTATGTCCCTAAGGTGCCCACTTCTTCACCAGGGCCCATAGTACTTAAGGCATTCTGTCCTCCTCCATACCAGGAAGTAGGCCAAGAAAGGCGTAATCTGCTCTGTCCAGTTCGAGCACTGGACGCTTACGCACACAGAGTTGCCCCGTCGCGTAAGGCAGATCAGCTTTTTGTTTGTTTTGGTCCGCCAAAGAAGGGATTTCCGGCGACCAAGCAGACTACGGGTAGGTGGGTGGTCGAGGCCATCTCACTAGCCTACGAGTCCTCTGGCCTCCCATCACCTATGGGGGTCAGAGCGCACTCGACCAGGAGTATGGCGGCCTCCAAGGCTTTCAGCCTGGGTGTGGCCTTGCAGGACATTTGTGCTGTGGCGGGCTGGTCCTCTCCACCCACTTTTGTCCGCTTTTACAACCTAGACCTGGCTTCTACCCCAGGTTCCCAAGTTCTCTCTTCGTGATGTGCTCATAGGACACACACACAGGCAGGGACTTGGTAGTATGGCGCAGTTGGTATTCTCGTTCCCAAAGCGACTCGACGCAGCTCGAGTTCCTGAAGGGGAACGTCTCTAGGGTACGTATGTAACCATGGTTCCCCGAGGGAACGAGATGCTGCGTCTCTTTGCCATACTCCCTGCATCCCTGCAGGCGCTACTTCATCGAAGCTGGTTTGCGCCCGGCCGGATGTGCCTTTATGCTTTCTGGTGCTTACGTCACCCTGCTCGTGACGTCTCGCTGCTCCATTGGACGGATTTGACACGTGCTTCAGAACGCGGTCACGCAAGGGCGTTCCCAAAGCGACTCGACGCAGCGTCTCGTTCCCTCGGGGAACCATGGTTACATACGTAACCTAGAGACGTTCTTCCACCAAACACACAATGACAGATTAGCTTCTTAGAGACATTTTTTCTCACAGCATGATCAACTAGTCGACTACACATCCAAAAATGAGTTCAAATAGTAAGATTTAGAGACACAACTTCTCAGTGAACATTTTTAGAGCACTGAGTTTTAGCACGATCATTTTAATTAGAATTTTCAGCATGATAAAATGCTCTTTCTGAGGAGTTGCATCTTTAATTGCATTTATTTCACCACTGATTCCATCGAAAAACTAATTCACCACTTTTAAGAAAATTAGTCAGGTGAATGTATTATTTTACACTACCATTCAAAAGTTTGTTTACACCACTGAATAAAAAAAAATCTAATAAAAAATGTAACTGAAACTGTTTATCTCACAACTGACTTTTTCTCAATTCTGAGTTTATATATCATAATTTGGACTGTTTCTTGCAATTTTGAGGAAAAAGTCTAAATTGTGAAAAATTGCAACTCTTTATCTCACAATTTCTTGCAATTCTGAGTTTGTCTCAGAATAAAAATAAAAAGTTGCAATTACCTTTTTATTTATTAATTTTTTTTTTATTGTGGCTTCCCTGTTAATTTGATCAAAAGTGACAGTAAAGACATTTATAATGTCACAAAAGTTTTCTGTTTCAAATAGATGTTCTTTTGAACTTCCTTTTCATTTAAGAATTCTGAAACAATTCTCACCGTTGCCACAAAATTATTTTAAGCAGCACAATGGTTTTCAGCATTGATAATAATCAGAAATGTTTCTTCAGCATCAAATCAGCATATTAGAATGATTTCTGAAGATCATGTGACGCTGAAGACTGGAGTAATGATGCTGAAAATTCAGCTTTGCATCACCGGAATAAATTACATTTGAATATATATTTAAATAGAAATTATTTTAACAAATAATTACAAATCTTAAAATGTAATAATATTTCACAATACTGTTTTTGGTGTATTTTTTATCATTTAAATGCAGCCTTGGTGATAAACATTACAAAAAAAATCTTATCAACCCAAAACTTTTGAACGGTAGTGTACATGTGGTCAGACATTTTCGGCCTTATGTTTGACCCTAACTAGTCGACTAGTCATTCAGACGACCCACCGAGTACTTGAATTTGAAAATATGTAGTTTTGCACATCCCTATTAGCAACATTGCTGGTCGGTTTAGAGTGATTAACGTTTGAAAAACAGTCACAGACTGTCATTCGGATCATTTAACGCTTTAATCTCTCATCTCAGCCGTTATGCTCGCAGTAACCATGTTCGCAGTCATTTTGCTGAGCTAGATTTGAATTGAAACATAGATGGCAATTGGATGCCCAACCTGACCTCATCCGCCATGCCAGCGCTCCGACAGCCAATCAGAATGAGCATGGGCCCCGGCTGTCTCTGTTTACTTTTGCACTTGACGAGTTCTGAATGCCTCTGCCCAACGCCATCTCATATGTTATGCTCTGATTCTTATCATACTAGCTAAATATAACCACAGGATACACACCACCTTTATGATACTCGATTTTCTGTATTATTTCATGATTGCCGTTTCATCTCAGCTGTTTAAAGCTGACTTTTGTTTGATCTGCTGGGATTCTGGGAAACGTTCAGATGCACTCATGCGAATGTGTACATACACACATATACACAGTGAGAAAGAGAGAGGATAGAACCCTATGGTACATTAGAGAGGAATACTATGGTACTTTTGAAATATACCATGGTACTGGAATTCATGTGTCATTGTAGTTACATGGTACTTCATGGTATTTCCAAGAACATGGTACATGTTCTTAATACAATGGTATATAATCAGAATACCATGGTATTACCATGATAAAATGTCCAAGATACCATAGTATAATGTTCAATGCCATGGTAGTACCATGTCCAGAATAGTAAATGCCATAGTAATATCATGGTACCATGTTCAAAATACCAGTCCCATGGTAAAATGTGAAGTGACGTGTGGCGACCCATACTCGGAATTAGTGCTCTGCATTTACCCATTCAAAGTGCACACACACAGCAGTGAACACACACAAACCGTGAACACACACCCGGAGCAGTGGGCAGCCATTTATGCTGCGGCGCCCGGGGAGCAGTTGGGGTTCGGTGCCTTGCTCAAGGGCACCTCAGTCGTGGTATTGCAGGTGGGAGAGAGTGCTGTACATTCACTCCCCCCACCTACAATCCCAGCCGGTACGAGACTCGAACCCACAACCTTTGGGTTATGAGTCCGACTCTCTAACCATTAGTCCACGACTTCCCACGTGGTGATCTAATTACCATGGAAGTATCATGGTATCATGATCAAATGGCATGGTAAAATGTCCAAAATACCATGGTACCATGTTCAATACCATGGTAGTAACATGGTACAATTTCTAAAATACCGTAGTAGTTTTCATAGTACCATGGTGTCATGTTCAAATACCACAGTATTATCATGGAACCATGTTCAAATATCATGGTAATTTGTCCAAAATACCATGATATTACCATGGTTCCATGTTCAAAATTCCATGGTATTACCATGGTAAAATGTCCAAAATACTATAGTAGTATCATAGTACCATGTTCAAATACCATTGTAGTACTATGATAAAAATGTCCAAAATACCGTGGTACATGGCACATTTTTGTAAGTCAAAGAAAGAAAGAAAAGTACTGCAGCAGTACCATGGTAATACCATAGTGTTTTGATATATTCTGTGGTACTACTAAATTATTACCACACTAAAATACTATGGTATTACCATGGTATTTCTGTTAGTTGAAAGAGTAGATGTTTATATTTTCCCAGATTGAATATGCATGTATAGTAAATGTGAACAAATCGCTAAAAGGCATTTTAATCATATACTGATTAATTTATTAAGTCTGTCAGGACGGTTCGTCCCAAACCGAGACATGAAGTACATGAATTTGAAGAATGTCCCATTTTTCCTTTTTTTCTTAAAACAATGAAAAAAGAAAGAAAAAAAAATCTAGCATCAATACAGACACACATTCAAACACTGCTTGCCAAAAACACGCATATGGTTTCCTTCAGATCACGTACGTTTTTTCTTCTTCTCGCATCTAAAGGAAACGTGCCCGATGACAGCTTAGCACTTTAAGTACCACTTTAAAGTTGAGGTTAAGACCATTTCGAATGTACCCCCAATTTTTTTTTTTTATTAAACAAACGTAAAAAAACGCTAATGCAAGCAAATAACTGTATGTTCAAACATCCGTTCGATGCAAAGGATTGATCTAAAGTCAGACTGCAAGACATGACCCAACTGAAAGTTCTGATCACAAGCAATAGTGAAACGTTACATGATATATCCTTGATTCTCTTCTCGGTTGATAATAAAGACACAGGACTGGATGTGAAGGCTTGCATACACTTTGAATCAAGCGCTGTCCTGAGTTGCTCTGGCGGTTCTGGTTCATACGTCAAGGTTCTAGGATTCCATCCAGACCTAAAGGCAGTCCGAAGGAGATGACATGCTCTGTCTTGAACAGCAACCTTTTGGAAAAAGGGAAGAAACAAATTCTCAAATCTCTGTCCGTGTAAACACGACCAAACGAGTGAGCGTAAAGCACGATAAACGGTTAAGCACTTCCTTTGCTGTTGCAATTCTACCGTCGGACGGAAAAAAACACAATAAAGTACTCCTTGTTGCAGTAGCTCGGTCTTCCCTCTGTTTTGACTGATATGTTAGGCAGAGGTTAAGGAGTCCCGCCCCGTTCCAGCGGCAGTGCGGCCCCTGGCGAAAATGAGGTCTCAAATCGATCTCAAAGGGAGCAAAGCAATATTGCACTGCTGTTCTGACAGGACAAACAAAGCGGTGCTCAAAAACAAACAAATAAACTAAAACAAAAGCAAACACAATCCATAATTAAGGCTATTAAAAATATTGCAGAATAATTTGGCCCCTGTTTTTGAGACAGACTGCCACAACAGTCAAAACTTTCCCCACTACATATGCAATATATTTAGAGCAGGGAGTGGAGAAAAAAAAATAAAAAAATTGTAAAAAGAGGAAAAAAAGTTCCTCTTTTGGAGTCTTTATTTGGTTTGGGATGCTTTAAAGGGAATCGTAAATATTTCTGTTAAAAAATAAATAGATTGGAGCCAAGCGAAAATTCGGAAGGTAAAAAACAAAAAAATCTAACTCCTGTGACATTTTCGTAATTTTTTTCAATTTTCAGCGTGCACTTGTAAAACCTAAAGGTATAGCAATCAGCGATTTCCACGTCAAACAGTGGCACTGGACGGCGCAATGCACCGTGGGATCCTTGCAATCCCGCAAGCCTCCTACAGCGGGTGCACCGGGGCCAATGGGACAAGAGAAGGGAGTTTTGGAGGGAAATGCACCCCTCGTCTCCTGGAGGGGGGAATCAAAGCAAAGGCCCTCGCTGTTCTCCGAATTTAATTTAATTTAATTTAATTTAATTTAATTTAATTTTTTGTACTCCAAAATGTCATCAGACCTGTAATCTATATTTGGGTTGTTCACATTGAGCCATGGTGCACATGTGGGTGATGCAAGTTCCAGTCTGAGATTCATCCTGATCTCACATCTCCCCGCTAATTTCCTGTCGCTCTCCACTAAATCTGATGAATAAAGATTCTAAATCCTGGAAATAAAAATGTTCCAGACTGGAAGAGGGGCTCAGTGTGATCTAAAAAGTGTGATCTGAAAGGCTTATCGTAAGACCACGGGTTATCGTAACATCGATACCAGCATTAAAACTTGACTAGAGCGGAGGAAAAAAACGCTATCCTTTCCCATCTCCCCATGATCGGCTGGCCATGATGACACATAATTAGGGTCAATTTTCTTGACTCTGTCTCGCCCACAGAAGCCTTTTGGGTAACGTGCAGAGACAGGGCTGAAAGAAAGCCCACAATCGCTATCAAAGTGTGGTTAGCCAAACAATTTCCCTGGAATATCAATCCACCCTTCACGCTCAGATGAGCGCCTGTGTCCATGGGCAAACCTGGCAGCGGGGCTGGGTACAGATGGCATATGCGTGGCTGTCGACCTGCGCGCTTGCAGCTACGGACTGAACTCATGCAAGACGTCCCCACCCAGCGAGCTCCTGCCAGAAACATTCACACTCGTCCTGCACAACCTTTCAGAGCTGTGTTCTTGTGCAGAATGAAAATAGGCCAGTGTAAATGAGATTGACGCTGAATTAAACTGCTTCATAATGGACAGAAACGATTTGGAGTCAAACGTAATATATTTTCAAATGCTGCATGGTCTGTTTGTAGTTTAAATTAGTTAGCTAATGAGTCTTTATTTACGTTTTGTAGATGTTAGAGTCTTTGTTGGTTTTTCCCTTTTTCTGAAGTGCTTTTTATGTTGGCCTCAAATTGGGTCCCAAATTATTTTTCTGCCATTTTTGCTTTTTTTTATTCAGAATATAGTGGAGAAACGACAGGAAATTATGGGAAGATGGTGAAAGGTTGCAAGCCGGATTCAAACTTGTGTTGCCTACATGAGCACCACTAACCAATGGTTCTGACAAGATGCCATATCCTACTTAAAATCCCAAAGTATGGTCTTATTAAGGAGTTAAGGTCTGTTCACACCAAGGAAGATAACTATAAAGATAATGATAAAGATATAGTTCTAAGAATCACTCTCAATATTAAAGAATAGCAGAGTTCACACCACATCTATAACGATAAAGGCACAGAGAAACGATATCGTTGGAATCACTTTCAGGATGATTTTTTCCGGCTGATGCACGATAAAAAGATTGACAGCCAATCAGAATCAATCCTGCTATAACGAGCTCGAGAATTTAAAGCGGCAGACGAGTGTGCGCTTGGAATAAACAGACGATATCGTCCGCTGGTGTGGATGCTAATATAGTTATCTTTATAGTTATCATTCTTGGTGTGAACGGGCCTTTAGTTGGCTTGAAATGAATGTTTAGTCACCATAAAAGTGGTCCATGTGATTTGTGCACAATATTTCAAGTTTTATCATGCATTCAATTTGAAAGCCATAGCAGAAGGTAAGTTAAATATTGGTGTGTTCCTCACACACAGCTATTGTATGACTTCAAAAGACTTGGAATATAGTACAGGGTCATATAGATCATTTCAGTTCAAAAGCATCCCGAATAGAAAAAAGCAAGTCTTAAGGGTTTGAAAGGACATGAGGGTGAATAAATGATTACAATTTTAATTGAATTTTCAAGTTTGACATAAAAACCTTGTTAAAATGGCCAACAGTTTAAACTAGATTGGAAGATTGCATAATAAGAAATTACAGTAAATTATAAATTATATTACAAATATTACAGTACAGTATTTGTCAGTTTATGTTGGTTTAAAAAATAATTTATATTCTGAATGAACAATGGACATAAAGAAAAAAAAAAAAATATATATATATATATATACAAATAAAATGTTAATATATATAAAAATTATCATAAAATGTATATATATATAAATAAAATGTTAATATATATAAAAATTCTCA